GGGGGGGGGAGGAGAGACACTGAAAATCCTACAAGGGAAATTCCCTTGCATTGAGATGTACTACAAGTATACAATTTGAGCATAAGTGAAACAGAGGAACTTCTACAGGGCAACAGGACTACTACCTTGTATCAGATCAGACCCACAAGAAAAAGAGCTCGGGCACCCTCAAGCTGTTCCACTTTATTTACAAAATTTTATTTACCGCTAACTCTCAGAAATGTCTGTTTCCACATGTATGTGTGTACTGAATCTAAAGCACTATTTGTTCACACACAAGATCTCTGTTGGTGAGATCACCCCCTCCAAGCACCTACCCTACCAATACTTGGACAAAGCCATTTCATAAAACTGAAAGCTCACTGAAGAAACATTTACAATTGTTAAGAAACATTACCCTTCTTCTGTCACAGGTTCTGGCTCTTCCCAAGCATGACACTTTAGGCCAAAGGCATAGAACAGATCCATTACCAGTAACTAAACACCAAAGCTCGCAACAGTATTTAGGGATTGCAGCTTTTATTGCACACCACTTAGGTAAAGAGGAGGCAGACTGGAAGAAGATTCTGTATTGCCTCTCCACTTAGGCAACTCATAGAGTTGGAAGGTACCTCCAGTGTCATCTAGTCCAACCCCCTGCACAATGCAGGAAATTCACAAATACCTCCCCCCCAACACGCACACACATAACACCTCCAGTGACTCCTGTTCCATGCCCAGAAGGTGGCAATCCCTTTAAAATTTTAGAAACACACACAACAGAAACCTACGGCAAACTTGTAACAACAACAACCCTGTCAGGTCAAAAGGGCGCATTATGTATGACTGCCTTCGGCGCCTACAACTGACAGGCCGCCCGCTCTCCGGGGCTCCGGAGGGTCTCAAGCGCGGCCCCGCAGGAGGGGGGCGGGGAAGGCGCCCCCCGCCAAGTTGCTCCAATGCCCCAGATCCGTGCACAAACAAGGCGAGGAAACCCCTTCCCGCGTGTCTGGCTGAACTCGCAGCAGAAGTTCCGCGCTGCTGAGTGTGCGGCAGACATGCACCCTGCGTGGCCAATTGAGTCCTCCTTTCCCCGCCGGCCCCCCCCCCATCTCTCTTGAGTCCCTCGAAAAGGGAAACGTTTGCATCTCCCCCACAACGTCAACAGACCTTTGGCAGCCACTGACACCGGCAGCGGCGGCAGCGGGCTCAGAAGCAAAGTTTGCTAGCACGCAATCTTGCCTTTGCAAACTAGACAAACCTGATGCCCGCGGCCAGGGGAAGAAGCAGCAGCAGCGTTTTGCCTTCGCCTCCTGGGGAAGGACGGGGAGAGGGGTCACGGGAAGCCAGTCAGAGTCCCAGGCTGCCCTCCCCGCCCGCTTTCCTTGCGAGTCACAGTGGTGAGGAGCTCTTTATTGCTAACCCGTAGAACTACAAAGGGGAAAGTAAAATAACAGGAGAGGAAGCCCCAGCTGGGCTCAGGCAGCTTCAACGAGCCAGGAAGGAGAGAGAATGCGGCGAACGCACCAAGTTCCCTTTTGGCGCCTTTACTCTTTCCACCTCCAGCTCCTTTTTGCAGCCTGCCAGTTTCCACTGCATAAACCACAGACCCGTCGTCAGCTGAACTGCAGGCGGCTCGCTTTAGCGAGCATATATGGTGAATGTGTGTGTGGGGGAGGGGGGGGGTAATACTTGGAGCAGAACAAGTGGGGCTGTTCGAGCAAGAGCCCCCCCCCCCCAAATAGAAACAAAGAGGCAAGTCGCCCGCCTTCTCCCCAGTGTGGGCTCTTTGTGCTGTCCCTTCTACCACGGAGACAGCCTATTTGAGCGCGATGAACTGAAAGTGGGAAGTGGGACTTCTTGCTCGCAGGAGGCCGCCTTGTGTAAGCTGCGCTGTTACCCGTGCAAAGCAGCTGCTGGGTGACACGAGTAGCAGCGCAGAGCCTCTCCCCAACAGCGGGTGTTCGGAGGGTGGGAAAGGGCCTCCGTCCCCCCCCCACCCCCACCCCCACGCTACACACACGCGCAGCCTGGCCGAGCCCACCACGGGGGATAGAGGGAAGCGGCAGAGGGCGCAGGCAGCAGCCCCTAGGCTGCCTCTCCCCAACACCGGGTGTTCGGAGGGTGGGAAAGGGCCTCCGTCCCACACACACACACACACACGCGCGCGCAGCCTGGCCGAGCCCACCACGGGGGATAGGGGAAAGCAGGGAGGCGGCGGAGGGCGCAGGCAGCAGCAGCCCCTACAACTAACTTACCTCCTTCTTGGCGTCCTCACGGAGTGCCTCGTGGAGCAGGGGGCGGGACTGAGGCCTGCTGGGAGCAGGGGGCGGGACTTGGTCATGCCCACCCGGCAGCTCACCGGGGGAACGGCGTTCCCTTGCGTTCCCCCCCTCCGAAATGACCCCTGATTTTATCTATCTACATTGCTCAAATGAAGATGTGTGTTATCTTAATCCTATCTAATAAAATCTGACAATTTAACAGAATTTCAAAACATAGTTCCATAAATATGGGCCACACTGACTCTATAGTACGGATATAGTCTACTGTGACCATTACTGTTGGCCATCCAAGTAATAATTTAAAGAAGAGAATCTTCATATTAAGATTAGCTTTGCTAATTCAGTTTGTTTTTGGTCTGCTGTTTGACTAAACCACACGAACCTGTTCTTTTCACAACCCTTCCGCAGTGGTGATCCGACAGATCCCAGTAAATTAGTATTTTAGCGGAGCAGTGGTTTCATTGTTGTTGTTTTGTTCTTTCCATCATACCACAGACATCCACCACTTTCCCCTATTACATGCTTGTAAATTATACGAAACATGCACTCAGATATGCAAGGGGAAACTGAACTCAGGGACAGCGAAAGCTCGTGTGAAGTGTCTGGAATACTGCAGTGAAAGAATCAAGAGACTATCTTGCTGAGTACACAGAGAAACTGCAGGCTAAAACACTTGTGACCGCAGCTGGCAACTGCAGCAGAGCTCAGGGACTGTTCAGGAACTACCTTTGATGACGTCACGACCTGGTGTTCAGGCTTTCCAATATAGGGGGTGGTGCCCCGGCCCGGCCCGGCCGCGAGGAAGGAAGCCGTTGCCCGGCCCACTGGGGGCCCGCCCCAGGCCTTGGCTCCTCCTCCTCCCCCCCTCCGTCTCGCCGCCTCCCTCCCCTCCCCTCCCGGCAGCCGCCGCCGACTACAGTTCCCAGGAGGCCGCGCGGCACGCCCCCTCGCCTGGCTTCCGGTCTCCTCCGCGGGGGGCGGGGCGGCGCCTGTGGGGGGGGCGGGGCTGCGGAGTCCGCCCCTCTCTCTCTCTCTCTCTCTCTCTCTCTCTCCCGGCGGCGGGCGGCGGGCGGCGGCGGCGCCATCATGTTCGTGCAGGAGGAGAAGATCTTCGCGGCCAAGGTGCTCCGCCTCCGCCTGTGCGCCCTGGACGGGGCCGAGTGGCTGGAGGAGGTGGCCGAGGACACGCCGGTGGAGCGCCTCAAGGAGCGCGGCCTCAAGCACGTAAGGGCGGGGCGAGATGCTCGTCGAGACGCGGGATCGTCGCCCCCCCCCCACCCCACACACACATACACCACCCCGGTCGTGTGGGCAGGTCCGCGACCAGGGGGGGGCGGGGCTGCTCCGCCTCCTCCTCCCCTTTGGCTTATCCCGCCGCCCGAGGCCCTCCCTCCCTCCCTCCCTCCGTGTTCTCCTCAGAGCGGCCTCGCTGAGGAGGCGGGCCCGGTGCGGCGGCCCAAGGGGGGGGGGTCACTCGCGCAGGCGGCAGGGGTGGCCCCCCCTCCCCCCGGGCCGGGTGAGGGTTCGG